ACCAGTTGAAGTTTCCGGGTCAGGCACAAGGGTAGCCCCATGTAGAGTATGTTACAGTAATCCAGACGTGAGGTTAGCAGGGCATGTACCACAGCTTCCAGAACCCTCACATCCAGATAAGGGCGCAGTTGGCGTATCAGCCGAAGCTGACTGCATTCACCTGACTAGTCATGTGAAGCGATGAGTCAAGGAGTACCCCCAAACTGCGAACACAGTCCTTAGAGGAGAGTGTGACTCCATCCAGGACTGGAGGCTGTATTCCCAGATCTGGTTTCGGGCCTGTGACTGTGAGTACCTCCGTTTTGTCGGGATTCAACTTCAATCTGTTTTTCCTCATCCAACCCATTACCGCTCTGAGACAGTCATTAAGAGGAGAGACTCCATCTGAAGTCTGAGACGATGATCTGGTCATGGAGAGATATATCTGGGTGTCATCAGCGTACTGAAGACACCGAGCTCCATGCCTCCGAATGATCTCACCCAGCGGCTTCATGTAGATGTTAAACAACTGCTTTCAAGCTAGATGTCACCCATACTGTAGTCCAAGAAAGCAAAGTTCCCAAGCTCTGGTGGACACAGGTCTCCAGTTATTTGAGTTGTCTTACGTACTGAGGATTGGATATCAAACTTAACCTTCTTTGAGAGTTGCCCGAAGGGTGAAATTTAACAGGTGAGAACCACTGATCTCATGGGGCAGGGACTGGTGATATCACAAAGATGCTGGATTATCTTGAAAGCTGATAATCCAGAAAGTGGCTTTGGCTGGATAGACTAGCCCAGTAGAAAGGGGCAACCAATTACTCCAGTGCACTATTGGTTTCTGTAACATTTGATGCAGCACATGCAAGTTACATGAGCAAAACCTATCACACATAAGCATCTACCAGCTAGTTTAAGCATATCTCTAGGCTTGGAAAAACAATTGTTGAGATCCTGAATCCATATGCATAGCTACAATGATGGAGCTCCATCATCATTGGTACTTCTGTGGCTGCTAATCCCTCCCACAGCTACTTCTTAAACCAGACAGCACCCATCAAAGGGTTTCCAAGACACTGCAGACTGCGGCATAGGGAAATAACAACTGCAGTACTCTCCTGGTTGTAGAGTGCACTGGTACAAAGGAACTGGAGAGAGCCTTCAGAGTCCTACTGCAATTGCTTTACTCAACATACCCTGCAACTGGAAGGCTTCTGCAATTGTTTTTTCCTAGTACTCTGATATGCAATACTGCAGAAATCCTTTGTTTGGGGGGCACTACCAAGAAGCAGGTGGGGGGGGGGAGAATCATGCCCTGTTGTTAACAACTAAATTCCAAAAACTACAAGGTTTTAAATCCAGTTTACAATGTCATAAGTACTGAACAGCGTGCCAGCCAATACCTTGGTGGAAATCCTGCACAGAAGTGTAACATAAATCTCCACATGTAGTGTAACACATTGGTTGTGCAATGTGACTCTTGGGTAAAAGGGCAGATGCACAGCTAAATGCACAACCAAATGCTCTTGTAGTCTCATTCACAATGTGCCATGCCACTTTGTATGCATTTCACATACTTATACATTTTGCATCCACAGGCAATGTGCAGCTCTGTGAAAAGGCACACTGTATGCACAACTCTGCTGTTTTCCCCTGGCACACCTCAAATTTCTAGCATTGCAGTAATTTAAAACTTTAGCTGAGCACTTAGAAATAGAGTTTAGGTGTCCAAAAAGTGTGTGTGTGTGTGTGGGGGGGGAGGAATAGGCAAAGTTACAAAGAGAATACAAATGCAGCAAATATAAGAATTCTATCTGTGAATGATTTTTAAACTCTCTCTCTTTGCAATGGTAGGAATTTGGGCATTGGGTGAAAATTTCATGGAGAGGGTAGAATTCTTTTTTGGGAGAGACAATCCCCTCATTCCCTCTGCCCCATAGCTGCAAACCTGGATGATGCCCATTTCCCAACCACATATACAAAGTGAACTAGACTGACAGCTGAGATTTACTTCTGCACTGTTAACAGGGTAGTGCCTTCTTTGCCTAAGGCTAGCTGGGTAGACCTCGTACAAATCAGGCCATGTGGCAAACACAGCTTTGTCTGTCACCATAGGTGAATGGCTTGTGGAGGATGGTATTTCAGGGATAATGAATGATGGCCTGCCACTGCTGCTCCCCAGTATTTGCTGCTTCAACTGGCTGACTAGCCCTGAATTTTGAATAAGCAAGAATGTAACATGGCCAGATCAGTCCAGCCCTAGAAGATGGGTCCTGAAATGCTACCCCATTTGAGGGCAGAACTCTGTGAAGTGAGGAGCCACTTTTGTCCTGGTTGCTGTTGTTGTGTGCCTACAAGTCATTTCCGACTTACAGTGATGCTATCATGATATTTTCCATGG